TAATTATGGTAATGATTCAGTATTACGGTATGTTATTACGGTAATGATTCAACACTAATACTATGAAAAATTAATAAAATATAAACAGTTTGACTTTTCCTTCAAGTTTAAGGGAATACTGTGGTAAATGATTATGGTAATGATTCATTATTATGGTATATATATATATATGATAATAGCATGGTATTACAAAGTAGCATCATCACTGCTAGTTATGCTAGCATCTTTAAGTTACCTTCCTTTTCAGTTTTTTACCATGTTCCATCATTATTTGGGACTATTTCTTTAATTTTAAGGGAATACTGTTGTTAATGATTCAGCATTACGGTATGTTATTACGGTAATGATTCAATACTAATACTATGGTATATTAATAATATATAAACAGTTGAACTTTATTTCTTAAAGTTTGAGAGAAATATTTTGGTAAATGATTACGGTAATGATTCTGTATTACGGTATGTTATTACAGTAATGATTCGGAATATGGCATGTTATTACGGTAATGTTTCAACACTAATACATTAATAAAATATAAACAGTTGAACTTCATTCCTTCAAGTTTAAGGGAAATATTTTGGTAAATGATTATGGTAATGATTCATTATTATGGTATATATGATAATAGCATGATATTACAAAGTAGCATCATCACTGCTGGTTATGCTAATACCTTTCAGTTACATACTTTTCAGTTTTTACCATGTTATATCATTATTTGGGACTATTTCTTTAATTTTAAGGGAATACTGTGGTAAATGATTATGGTAATGATTCAGCATTACGGTATGTTATTACGGTAATGATTCAATACTAATACTATGGTATATTAATAATATAAAAACAGTTGAACTTTATTTCTTAAAGTTTAAGAGAAATATTTTGGTAAATGATTACGGTAATGATTCTGTAATACGGTATGTTATTACAGTAATGATTCAATACTAATACTATGATACATTAATAAAATATAAACAGTTGAACTTCATTCCTTCAAGTTTAAGGGAAATATTTTGGTAAATGATTATGGTAATGATTCATTATTATGGTATATATGAAAATAGCATGGTATTACAAAGTAGCATCATCACTGCTGGTTATGCTAATACCTTTCAGTTACATACTTTTCAGTTTTTACCATGTTAAATGATAATTTGAGACCATTTTTTAAAGTTTGTGGGAAATACTGTGGTAAATGATTATGGTAATGATTCAGTATTATGGTATGTTATTACGGTAATGATTTAATACCACAATCACAACAACCACAATCAATTTAGCATAGTAAACCAAGTTTTTAATTGTAACTATGTACCATGGTGACAGAAAAATAGAGTACATAATTACGGTAATGACTCAACCACAAAAATACCATGGCATTAACACCGGACACCATTTATGTACCATGGTTATACCCCGTTTTCTGTTTATCAGTATGTTAATATGATCTTTGACGTATCAGATAAAATACATCCAGTATCACATTTCTTATTGACTTAACAAAGTAGTAATATGGCACTACTTAAAGTACCATGAAGATGATTATTCAGTACTATAGTAATATATAAAAATACTATAGTATTTCCGCCTGACAATGTCATCGTGCCATGAAAACACCACAGACTTTTCTCTTGATTGAGGTCATCAGGGCTCACCGTACACCTCCAGCGCTTTCTCCTCCATCTTCTTTCGTCTCTTGTCATTCGTCTCGTTAGAAAGTCCCGTTAAAAACAATGCTTTGCTCAAAAGTCCGGACACAAGCTCCATGATCCGGTCCGGTCCATCATTTCCATCACGGACACTGACATGCGCATGCGCGTCCGCTCTTCCTCTTTCACGCAGACCAGAGTGATCAACAAAGAAATGTCGATGGAAATATAAACTTTTTGGCGTTGTTTTTTGGGATTATATGCCATTTATTTTAAAATATTATATAGTTATTTTGAAATAATAATAAACTATAAAATATGTTAAAAAACCATTTTAATTAATTTGGCGTTAATTATTTTATACCAAGACTATAGAATACACTTTATTAAGGGGATTTTTGTTTATATCAACACATTATCCATAGAAACTAGTCAATATACTTCTACTGTTTTGTATTACACATGCTAAATTAATTAAAAAATAGTATTTATAGTTTGCAACATTTTTAATGTATAAATTCATAAAACACCACATTAATTTTTATTTTAATTACACTATTTTTGCTGATAATATTGTTAATATTTGATTTTTTTTATTAATTCCTTTATTTTGTTTTGTATAGATTTAGATTAGTTTAAATAAACCTGCATTATTATACATAAAATAAACATTGCTCTTATTTAAGACTCAAACAGAGACAAAAGCCAACTTTTATTTACTAATCACGGCAAATAATTTTAGGT